TTTGAAAAGTAAAGTAATTACAATTTTATTAGAGTAACGAATAAAGTAACTTTATTACATTTCTCTCTAAGTAACGAGTAMAGTAACTTTATTACTTTTTAAAAGTAATTTACCCAACACTGGTTATAACTCAGATTACTATCCATCTCATAATAATTTAAAACCAAATAGTAAAAATATATGTATTTAATAGAAACAATAACATTTAATTAGTAAAAGAGTTATTACCTCACTAATAACAAAAGTATAAAATATAGTAAGGTAAATTATTATTCAACTAGTTTTATCGGAAACTTGTTAACCTAACCTAAAAATAACCAACAGCACATAAGGTAGGCAATCCTCTATAGGTAGATTTCAGATGCAGCGATAAGTGACATCAAGAATAAACAGTATTTTGCAAAACCCGATTTATAGACATTAATAAATAGACTCAACAGTTTACGTTGCTGCCGATTCAATCTTTCCTAACACCTAACTTTATGGGACAACCTACTGTGATGATTTTTCTGTCAAAATTTGAGTAGGTAAAATGTTTCTGTTACTACATAGAATATTGTTTAACTGATTTTTGTAATAAAACCTTAAATCACATATTTGTATGTATTCAGTGTTTCAGTGTGTGTATAACTGTTTATCCATCAATAATTATTTGTAAATATATTATACTCAATTATGCATCTAAATACTATTAGAATATAATTTATCTGACAAAAATTAATGATTTGACAATCATTATTCCATATAATTAACAACATTTCTCAGAGATGTCAATATTATAGTAAAAACCATGTGAATATACACTGCACATTGCAATTTTTGATGTTTTATTATAAAACAAAATATTTTTATTATATAATATAGGTACCAAACTGCTAATTTTATATTTATATAAACGCATTATGCATAGTATAGCATTATACAGTGTGTTTCACTCAAATGGTAACACAAAATATTTCTGGTCAGTTACATGTACTGAAATGCGGTTTTGAAATTGAGAACACTGCTGAAATACAAATTTTTGACTCTTTCTGTCTGCAGCTTGCATTTTTTCATATAGCAATAAATATTTTTAACACCAGATTCATATACCTAGACCAATTTTTTTTAGGCAACTTAGATGATTACACAAAAAAAGATTTTTGTTCAATTTTCTAAAGTTTAAAAATTTCAGTATTTTGTCATTATAAAATTATTTTTGATTGAATACAGCAGGGGTGCTGATATATTTTGAAACACCTATGACAATTTTATTTTGAGTCAATAAATCCATCCACTTACACACCAGACCCACTAACAAAACAAAAATAATATAGAACAGTTAAGGATCTTATATTATATTCTGTGGTCCCAATTTGTCTTAACATTATAGCTATAATGCCCCCCTCCATTTATTTACCTATGCCATCTGTCATAGGCAAAACCTACTTTCGGCGCCCCTGGAATACAGGATATATGAACCTCAACTTCTTCGTTAGCTTGAATTTCTCCTTGCTGTAACRGATGACTATGACCTCTACTTCCAAATGAACCATATATTCGGATTTGATTTTTAAGGCGTAGGAAATGGTTAAGTACTGATTGATATCTTAATATCTATCGGGATACATTTCAGCGTATAACTGTGCAGCATTGTGGGAATTTTGGTAACACTTATTAAAAATTAAAACCATATCCAATTATTTTCTGTGACTAGCTATTTTTATATATGAATAAAAGCACATAAGTAGTAAAATATGAATACAAAAATAAATCAATTATAATTTGAATAATCACGTACAAGTATATAACTTATAACAACTTTTATTTCTTAATAACCACATTTAGTCAAATGCAATAATAATTTATAAACTGTCAGTTATTAATAAGCTTATCTGAAAAAACTTATTAATTGTATGACATATACTATGGTCACATAAGTAATAAATATTACTCTTAGCACACGATAAGTAACATTTAGTTTCTTTAACAAAAATAAAATATAGTCTTAGAAATTAGAACTAATGTAGCGATTATTTTAATTTTAAACAATGTTAATTCATTAACTGATCATATTTATTAGATAATAGTTAATTATATTTAACTTTGGCTTAATTTAAATAAACTTATTATTCTCTTCTATGTCTCTTGTATTTAATCATAAATGATTTTATTATGATAAAATATAGAAATTTTTAAATTTTAGAAAATTGGACAAAAATCTTTTTAGTTTCAACTTCCACTCGCTGTTATTAAGTCAATTTATGAGATAGGAGAAAAATATAAGCATAAAAGTTGCCTATAAAAAATATTATATTATAATATATGATGGAGTGAATCTAATTATGTCAAACTACAAAATCGTATTTATGCTAAACAATATACATTGGCAAAACACATGTATTAATTGTACATTATAATATTATGTAGCTCATGTAAAAWGATATAGCTGTTTATATCATTTACATTGTTAATTAATTCAATCTAATAAATTGTTCTACTGGTTACACAATTTGTGCACTTAATTAAATAAATATATACAATATATGGGTATAAATAAATAATAAAATGTAAAATAATAAAATAATAGGTATTCATAATGTCATAGATGAATAGTTCTGTACTAATATTATATTACATAGTTACAGAATTTGTGACATTTGTGTTTATTAAAATATTTAAACACTAATAATAATAAAGATGAATAAAAAAGGCTACTCATATTAACTTACCTATATAATATGTATTAAAAACATTGTATCTKAAAGATTTAAATATTTCAAGTTAATTTAACTTATTAGTTATTTTTTGACATCGGCTTATTATAGTATTATTTTACTATATAGTTAAATTTATTCGACGGTAAAATCAAAAGTAAGACAGTAATAATGTACACACACTACGGTACGTCTCACGAAAGAAAAGCGTACTGCTTGCGTTTGCGCATGCAGAATTTCAGACAGACACCGACACCGAGCAATGAGCCAGTGAGCACCAGGCACCAGCCGAGCACTCGAGCTTGGTGCTTCCGCCTTCCACCCGGGGTCCGATGCAGCGAATTATCGATTCCCTCTCTACGTCTACGTTGTACCATTGGTTTTACGTACAATCTAGTATCAACATCAGCCACGGTATAATATTTATGTATATATGTTACACATATACATAT